AAAAAAGAAAATATTATTGTACAATGTTTTTGCGCAATGTGTTTGCAGAAATATCAATAAAAATAATCTTATATTCACATATGTAATCCTTATATCGATATTAATAAAAGGGATGATAAGTCAGCTTTTGTTTTTAGGAATTTGCGTCGTGCCGTACCTGAGCACATCAACTTTAGACGATCTGATTAGTTAATTTTAAACACTTGTAATTCAAAAAGTATTATAGCTTCAACATTTTGGTATTGGAACTTTTGTCTTAATGATCTCAGAAATCTACCTTTAAGCGTTGGTCCGTTCATTACGGGACACCCTGTATAAAAAAATTTAGTGTTATTTACTAATTTATTGTTTTATTCCTAATTTTATTGCTCTTATCATTTAACAGAAAATCAAATTTAAAGTAATGGAATATCTAACAATAGGTCTGTTTTTAGCTGGCTACATTAGTTTAGAATTTATCTTTCTTCTTCTAATGTAGAAAGAGAAAGATAAACTGTGAACTAGTGCAACAGTTTGGCTATAAAAAACAGGCCTAATATGTACTTTTAAAATATAGATCATAATTGTGGCTTCTAAAATATTAAAAATAAATGCTTAATCCCTGCAGATGTTTGTTTCAGTTCTTAAAATTTTCTTAACACATATCTAGAACACTTTAATATTAAAAACATTCTTTTTTTTTAATACCTAGACTGTACCAACGAGCATTCAAAACGGCAAAAAATATTATTTATTTTTAACATTTTAGAAGAAATAAATTTGATCTTTGTAATATTTTGAAAGTAATTATAGAGTATTTTAGTACCAAAAACATGCTCAAAGAAATTTGGGAGATTGCTTTGTCATGAAATGCTATAATATAATTAGCTGTCTTTCTGCTTTTTATAATAAATAAATATTATAGCTCAAATATACTTCTGTACAAAACACTAACTTAGAAGATATTTAAAAATTGTAATATAGTTAAAAAATTTTAACAAAAATATTTTAAGCAGGTCTTTATTTTATATTAAGTGTGCTCTGTGTAACTATTAGATGCAACAATACTGCAGTATCTAATGTAGTACCCAATAAGTGATAATATTTTTTAAATAATATATTTCCAAAACATTTTTATATTATTTTAGAATAATAAAATAATTTCTAGCATATTTTATTTTTTGTTACAATCAGTTTTTTTTAGTGTAGGACTATGAGACTAGTTGAATTTCAAGCAGTTCCCTTCCTCTTTGAACATAACTTCCTAAACAATTTTAGCAACAAAATTGGGAATAGAACAATATTCTTATAATTGTAAATTATTTTCTGTTTTATTTTGTAATTGTCCTTGTTGTCTTTTTACATTTTTTATATTACAATTTTAGAAAATTTTAAAGACAGTACCAGACGAAAAATTGCAGTATGTTCTGAATTCTATTAGCAGTTTACCAACAATTAAATTAGGAATATTAAATTATCAACCAATTATATGTTTGCGAGATCTTAAACTAAACTGTTATGGTAAGTATTTACATATATATGTTACCGTCAAAACCTGTAATCATTAAAACCCGATTTCATTACTTAAAACTAGTTTTAAATTTAATTGAAACGAGGTTTACAATTACTGTTTATTGTTTCGTACTGAGGTCCAACCGTCCTTTCTTCCTCTCTGTTCACGAAGCAAAACGAGATCTATAATTGTACTGTCCACATAGGTTTTCCATTTTACGTCTAACCATTCTAGTTTTAACTAGTGAATTCGGATATTAACGGATTATGGGTTTTGATGGTAACATATACATATGCATGTACATTAATGCTTGGGATTCGATTTTAGTGTTCATGTTTCGTTTTAGTTATTTTTACGTTCATACTAACTATAAGCTGCGTCAGTACATTATGTTTTGACAGCCAGCCGATGTAATCTCAATTTTGATCGGTAAAATTTCTGAAATATTCCAAAGTTTAATTGAAAGGAAGCGAAAGAAACGAAACGTGGACTCTAAAATCGAACTCCAGGTATTAATTGCACAAACTGTACATTAGACTGACTAAAAAAAAAATTTTTTTTTCAATCGGATCCTCAGTTCAAAAGCTTCCATTTTATGCCAAAAGAAC